TTCTCCTCACCTCTCCTGTCCTCCATTATTCCCCCCTTTATCCCCTCTCTGCCCTTCTCTCCTTCCCTCCATTCATCTCCCTCTCCCCCATCTAGTGCCCCTATCTTTTCCTGCTGCACCCCCCCACTCCTCCACCCTCGCCCTCCACCTCTGTGATAGACAGGGTGTCCTCACCTTGTAACGATCAGTGACATCCAATATGTTTGGCTTGGGATCATCCCCTGTGTGTCCATTGTGCTTTCTGTTAAACGCTTTATTGATTAGCCATGAGTTAATTACAAATTACATCAACCGTGGGCAGACTGAGGTGGCTTGCACATGGCTGCAGGATTCATCCTGGAGGAGCTAATACATGTTGACTGCACACACCTGCAGGCGTGCATCTCAACCTTAGCAGGTTACATTAGTCTACCTGATTCCCCCCTACTATTAACATCCGTGCATTTATGACATTTCACAGTGCCTTATCAACACTTTAAGGGCATGCAATATTTTCTGGGCCATTGTAGTGAAAAGGGTAGAATTAGAAACAGGAGGTTTCTGCAAGACACCAAGGGTATGCGCCCTGAATCCTTAATTCTATCAAGCACAACTTGACTCACCCTATGCAAAATTATGAGACTGTGCCAAATCCTCAGCAGACCTTTGGAGGCTAATGTATTCTGGATTTAAGCTCCATTGTAAAATCCATAACACGCCTGCACCTGACCTGCTCTGCTGCAGCCCCCAAAACAACCTCTCACCTCTGACTTTTGCACAAAGTTAAGAAATGTAAATAATAATACAAACAACAATCATATTAGTCATAATATAAATCATGATGATGATAATAACTGTAATAATGCTTGCAACCTGCAACAGCATGCACTTTTTCGAGCCTTTTTTCCCTTTTCATGCCGTGTCAGTTTCTCTTTGACATTGCCGTGTACTTTGTGCAAAAGGAAAAAGGAGCGAAAAAAATCTTTATCAAATCCCCATTCTGAGGCTTTCAATAAGGCAGGCCATTACCTCACTGGCGCTTTTGTTCGGCCTATACAAGAGAGAACAAAATGGTTATTCAGGAGGACGCTTTAGATTTTTATTGTGGGCTCGCTATTCACAAAGAGCACCGTTATTGTATTAAAAAGAACCATCTGTGGCAGAAACAATGGCTTCAAATTATCTGTGAATACCCAGTGAACAAAATATAAAGCTTTTTCCTGCTCATTATGTGGGCTAAGCTAGGGGGTGGAAGATAGGAGAGGAGAGGCATAGACTTTGCTATAACTGACTTTTGTTGTTCTTGCTTGCATTCTTCTCCTTTTTAAATCGGCCCCCTTTTCACATTGTGTGTCGCCATAAACGGCTTTTCTTGTTGCAGGGCTAGCGGAAAGAAGACAGCGGAGCTCCAGACAGACAGCGGGGCTCCACGGGGCTGCACGCCGGACAAAGCGAGCCGGCTCCCGGATAGAAACCGCGCGGACTACCGGGGATGGGGGGAAAGGCGCGGAGAGTGCCGGGTGGACGTTGCACGGCCGGCGTCGGGAGCTCTGTCCCGGACAAGTTGAGGCTTCCTCGCCGGGGGGAAGCGAGAGGAAGATAGGGAGGAGGTTGAGCGAAATGGCATCTTGTTTAATTTCTGCCAATCAAGACGAGAGGAAGACAACTCCCAAACTGGCAGTAAGTTGGAGTACGGTGGAGAGGAGAAGCCGTGTGTGTGTTTGTGTGTGTTTGTGTGTGTGTGTGTGTGTGTGTCGGTGTGTAGGGTATGTTAGTGTGTGTTTGAGTCGGGGTGTGTGTGTAAAACATGCAGTGTTGTGGAATGACACCGCATGGCATCATGAGCTTGACTGACTGCCTGAGTTGTTGTTGGCCGGTGTGGGTTTCTCCTCAACATACACACAGACCATCTCTATGGTCATCACATTTTATATTTGCTTTGTGCTTGTCATTTAATTCAAATTATTTATTTTCCTCTTTCAGTACTTATTGAAACAATGTTAAATAATGTAAGGTTTAAATTACAAATCAAACAAAACGCTCTGTATTATTTTTTTATATACACTGAAGCGCTTTTATCACATTATTATACAGATTCATTTTATTTTATTCTGCCGAATATCACCTTTTAAATTATATTCTCACTTTATATTTCACTATTATCACTTTATATTTGAATTCATCATAGTCTAACATGTCGACGCAGATCTTGTCAAATTTACAACTTGATAGACGTTTATGTTTTATGCCATAATCGCATTTATTTGTTTATTGTCGGGCTAAATTACATACATATTTGTCCAAGTTTATTTCAGAAAGAGGAAGAATTGTAACATATAAGAAACAATATTTTGAGCATCTGACTTATTGGTATCTTCAGAATTATGAACAATTATATTCCTTTATTCATGTTGAAAAAAATAGCGCTACAGGCCTATATGTTTTCTACAATTATTTCCAAGAGGGACTTATTAATGTTTTCATAAAGTATTTTCTCGGCTACATCCCCAGCCCCTGGTACGGCCCCTAGTGGCAAGAAAAGACAAGTTTATTTCCATTTCACCTGAAATCTGTCTGTCTCATTGCCATATAGAGTTACCATTTGTTTCCCTTTAACAGAATTAATCCCTTTGTTGATATTTGCATTTTATTTGGGTAAATTCACATGTACCAATATAAAAGCGATACTCATAAATTATAATTTGTATGTTAGTTTATTTAAGAGTTTAAACACGATGACACGTCTTTCTGCGCGGCTTTTAATAGAATATATTTTTTTGTGTGTGTTATATTGTTCTTTTTTGTCGCTTGTTTTTTTTTTTTTTTTTGCAGTGATCCCATCACCTAAATTTGTGCAACCACAAAAACAGTATTTTGATATCACAGCGTGCCGCTCCCTATATTTGCTGTATCCATCCCAACCTGGTGTAGCAGGGGGCTTACAAGTGGTCCGAGGGAGCCGCCCCGCTAGTTTCTCCTGGTTTTTGTCAAACAACGGCTTTAATTCAGGATGATTGTGGATGCGGGGCCATTCCCGGCTGGATGGGGGCCTGCTTTCAGAGAGCTGCAGGGCCCCGCTGTTCCTTTATTATCATAAGCAGATTAGAGGTAGCGGGGAACACACTCAGATGCAGATAGCAGCCGAGCGGCCCATTTCAACCTTGCATTATAATGGACCGAGCTGCATGTGTCGCCTCTCGCAGCCTATTAAGCACAAGATGAATCTTATGTAAGGTTGCCGGGGCCGGCATAATGAGAGCACGGGGGCTCCGCTCCTCCATTTATTATCAAATGACTAAAACAAAATAATAAGGCTTGATCTATTCACTTTCAATTATGATTTAATCTCGAGACACGCATTTAAATTAAATTATTTCAGGTGTATGTACTTGATCTATCTTTAATTATTGGGATTGTGTGGCTTGCAGATCCAGACAAGCTGTGTTGTGACTAAATAGCTCCTGTTCTTGTCAGATATTTTAGCTCTATACTGTTGCTGGTGGTAAGTGTATTTTAAATAATATTTTTCCTGTGTCTTTGACGAAACTTCTAAAAACAGCCATCCTCTATTCCTGCTCTGCACTGTGTGGAAAAACCTGTCTGGCGTTTGGGGTTGCTTGCAGTCCCACCTCTGTCCAGTAGGCGGCACTGGTGTCACGCAGCAGGACGCCTTGTCTTTAGATGGGGATTGAGGAAAAGAAGCAAAACAAGTGGCAGCAACACTTCCAAGCTCCAAAAAACTTAAGTCGTTTTGGACATTAAAACTATATGAGTGAGTGATTCCGCTTTTAAATGCGATGATGCTGGTTTTCATCTCATAATCATCTCAGTGTGGTTGGTTTGATCCAGAATCAAGTGAAGCAGGTGGAGGCCTGCTTTTCATTCACACTAATTGGCTGACACGCTTGTTCAGGCTTATATGAATGAGCTGCGCCTTTTGTGCAAACACACTTTATCTTAAAATATTCCTCACCTTTATTTCTCCTCCCCTCGTGTCCCCGGTAGGCCGTGTATCCCCCCCCCCCCACCTTACACCCCACCCCACAGCTCCCCACTACAAAGCCCCAACAACAACAGCAGCACTGTGGCAGTGGAAGTGGAGTGGAGTTGGGTCTTTGTCCGGACAGATGTAGCGACAACATCCCAAACAAAAACCGCTTATTTGTGCTGAGATGAGCCCGTCTGCCTTCTGTGTGTTGGCATTCAACTTCACTAAACAAAAGGACTGGGGGAAACATCTTGGATTACCTTTCCTCTTTTCAACGCTAAAAACCAGCCGTGGCTTCCCCCCCCCCCACCTCCTCCTCACACACACATTCACACACACCACCGCTATTCAATGCTTTGAGTTAACTAACAAAGTTTATTTAAGTGTTGTTATGTTATTGGGGCCGTAAGTGGGGGCATTAGTGACTTTTTGATTTTGAACAACAGCAGTGTCACGGGCCGGGACTCAGTGTGAGAACAATGCTGCTCAACATAAGATGATACAGACACCATTAATGTCAACATGTGATGAATTTATTAAACATTTATTTATTTATTTTAAGCTAGTCTTATTTTATTATGCATGACTTCCGATTTATTGTTAGAATAAAGGCTTCACATTTGAATAAATAAGTGAACCAAAACATTAAAAAAAAATCCCCTTATTAAGTAGAAACTGTTAGACATATATATTTTTTTATTTAGAAACTTTTTAGTCCTATTTTTCTCGTACACTTTGCAAAATGACACTTTCTGATTTCAGCCAGCCAGCTTTTGCAGCTTCCTCTCCACCATAGCAAATGTTTACAAAGTGCCACGGTATATATATTCCCAGAGAAATCTCTCCATGTGTCTGGAAATAGTAAATATGTACTTTATTTTGGCTCATATGGGCAGCCTGAGTGTGCGTGTATGCGTGTGTCTCGGGGCAGAGCAGACCCCGCCCCTTTATGCTAATTAATGTCTCCCATTGGTGTGTCAGGGGTGCAGGCCGCCTCTGATTGGCCAGGTCGAAGCCATTTATTCGCTGACAGCCCCGTCACATGAATGGTTGTCTATTAACTTGTTCAAAAACTATCTGGAGTTGTCAAGGCTCAGGCGGACAGAGGCGAAAAAGTACAGTTTGTTGATGCTTTTTCGGAGAAGCGACGGGAGAAGTTTTGTGGACACAACATAGCAGGGACCTATTGGGAGAAGGCTCTTTGTCACACACACTCACACACACACGCTTTGACACACACTCACCGAGAAGGGAGAGAGAGAGAGAGAGAGAGAGAGTGTGTGGAGACGCGGCTTGGTGCTTGTTGTTTTTGTCCAGAGAAAAAAGTTGCAGAGAAAAATCGCCAGGTAACTTTTAGCAGCAGCCCTGCGCTCCTCACTGTCCTGCCTCTGGCTTGTGGAGTTTGTCTCTGTGGCTTTTCTTTTTTCCTCTGCTCGGGAGCTCCAACTAAAAGCTGTTCCTGATGTATAACATGATGGAGACTGAACTGAAGCCCCCAGCTCCCCAGACCAACACGGGGGGCTCGGGCAACACCAACACGTCCGGCACCGGCCCCAACCAGAAAAACAGTCCGGAGCGGGTCAAGAGACCCATGAACGCGTTCATGGTGTGGTCCCGGGGCCAGAGGAGGAAGATGGCGCAAGAAAATCCCAAAATGCACAACTCGGAGATAAGCAAGAGACTGGGCGCTGAGTGGAAACTTCTGTCGGAGAGCGAGAAGAGACCTTTCATCGACGAAGCCAAGAGGCTGCGGGCCCTGCACATGAAGGAGCATCCGGATTACAAATACCGGCCCCGGCGGAAAACCAAGACCCTCATGAAGAAGGACAAGTACACCTTGCCCGGTGGGCTGCTGGCTCCGGGAGGAAACGGGATGGGAGCTGGGGTCGGTGTAGGGGTGGGCAGCGGGCTGGGCGGTGGGGTGAACCAGCGGATGGACAGCTATGCGGCGCACATGAACGGCTGGACCAACGGTGGCTACGGCATGATGCAGGACCAGCTGAGCTACCAGCACCCGGGGCTGAACGCGCACAACCCGAGCCAGATGCAGTCCATGCACCGCTATGACATGAGCGCCCTGCAGTACAACACCATGACCAGCTCCCAGAGCTACATGAACGGCTCCCCGACTTACTCCATGTCCTATTCCCAGCAAACCACGCCGGGGATGACCGCGCTGGGCTCCATGGGGCCCTCCTCGGTGGTGAAGTCCGAGTCCAGCAGCTCCAGCCCGCCCGTCGTCACCTCGTCGTCCCACCGGGCCGCCCCGGGCTGCCAAAGCGGAGATCTGAGGGACATGATCAGCATGTACCTGCCCGGGGCGGAGGTCAGCGAGCAGAGCGCCCAGACCAGGCTACACATGTCCGGGCACTACCAGAGCGCCGTGCCCGGGACGACGATCAACGGCACGCTGCCGTTAACACACATGTAAGAGACACACAGCAGAGAGAGAGAAAAAAAAATGAACTTTTATAAGAGAAACTGTGGACTATTAACGTTGGACTATTTTTGTACAGAAAAATTTCGGGGTGGGAAAAGTTGTATAGAAGTCTCCAGGAAAAGGACACACGACTCTTTTTTTCTTTCATTTTATTCTAAGGAAGCTCTAGAGGAACGGTAGGAGATCCCCTCTTCACTGGTGGATGAAGTTTGGAAGACTAGAAAGTGGGAGTCGCAATCAAATGTTTTATTATTGCAATCACCTTTTGTACAGTATTTATCAAAGAAACATTACAATCAGATGAAATTGTTTGTTAAACTGCAAGAGGTTGCATTTTTCTTTTCTTTTGTTTTTATATATAAAGCAATGCCAGTTCTGCAGAAAATATTAAAAGTGAAAATGGCAGAACTGGAATTATATGGGAGCGATCAGTTATGCTCCTTTATTACTGCAAACTTTGGAAAGAAAAGGGACATAAAAACGAAGCAGGTAATGCTGTTTTTTTTTTTTTCATTTAAGGTCAATATTACTAAACATTTTAATTTCTTTAAAAAAAAGATAAGACACTTTTTTTTCTCTCATACAGCTTAAAATATAGGTTAATTTATATTTCCGTCTCCCACTTTTCATCTGTTAGAGGTATGACGCTTGTGCTCTTTATTTTCTAATTGATTTGTACAATTTCTGTATATTTACTGTGATATTTTAAGTTTTTATTTCAAAAAAATTCATTCCCGTAGTTGTATTTTAAAAATTGTGGCCTGTACGCAGAAGCCAACCACTCCATGTATATATATACCGGAACTAATACCATCCTTATAACAGTTACAATTTCAGCTGAGTATATTTTTTTTCAATATGCAGTTTGAAATGAATAAATTTTGGAAATTTGGATACTTGAAATTGTTTGAGTTTTGATTTTTATTTTCCTCAGTCATTTTTATTTTTAATATGTGCAGGTTAAATTGTCACCCGCCTGTGGAGCCTTTCTGTTTTCTGATGTTAATTATTTACTGTAAATGTAACATTGACTTTTTACATCTTCATGAATATAAATATTAGAATTTCTTTTAAACTCCACTGATCAAATAATCCAGCTTGTGCGTCGTGGTTTCTATTTTCTAGTGCCTGCGGATGGCCCCGTCAAGCCAAAGTTTGTTGCCATGTTTCCTCAAAAGGGGGACGATTTTTCCACCCAAATGCCCAACATCCCCAGGTATAGACTGTCATTTCTCCTCTTTTATCATCAGTTCTAAAAAAATAAAAAAAAAATTAAAAAAACATCAATGAGCATTTCTGTTGAGGCCCAAGCTACATTTTAAAATACCTATTTTTCTTTTTAAATTAATTTAACAACTGGATTTATATATTATTTTGTAGTTATTATTTTGGGCCTGTTTTTGAATGGGAGAAGATATGTTGTTCATAAACAAGCATAAATCAGGGTTATTACCCTCATTCATTATATGTGTAAAGTGACAGCAGCATTTCTGTCATTGGTGCATTTTAATTTTCTAATGACACTTGACTGTGACAACAGCATAGCTGGATATTGGAGTATTTACACCAACCTAATCCCATGAGCTCAGGCTTTTATTTCATGTTGTAACAGTTCCTCTTGATGTTTGGTTTAACTAATAGGCTCTGATACTTTTTGGACGCTTTCTCTGCTCTGTTTTTTTCCTCTTCCTCCAAATCATAGAGCTGCAGCTTATCAGCCTAAATGTTCAATTAGGTCTAAATGGAAGGTGAGCCCTCTTGAAAGGAGCCAGACGAGCGGGACCAGCCGGGTTGCTTTTTCTCCCGCGATGTAATGGCTCCACATAAAGTCTCGAGTGTGGCCATTTCAATTTAATGTTTAATCAAACGGGCCCTGCTGTTTCCCGTTAACCCCGGTTCTCACGGTTCAAGCTCTCCGGTGACTCCACACCACCAACACCCCTCCTGCGTAAAAAAACGGAACCGGTTCCAAAAATGTTCCCATGCGTCTCTGTGCCAGCCAGGTTACTCCCCCTCCTTTCATATTAATCCTTATGATGAGCTAACTGCTCGCTCTGAATTTAACTAACGGTTTTAAATCTGCGGGGAGTGTGTCTCTGTATGTGTGTGTGTGTGTGTGTGTGTACAGCGAGGTAGATTAGGGCCGTTGTGTCTTGCAGGCTGGGTCCCGGGGGATCGCAGCTCACATTAACCGGCAGATGAATATTTGAAGAGGCCCCTCGGTATTTATCCGTCCACTCCTCTCTCCCCCTCTCTCCCCCTCACCCTCCCTCTCAGCCGGACCTTTAAGAGGTCAAGGGATCGTTGGTTGCCCCATTAATTATTGATCCAAGCAGCTGAATTGGTTGTAATAGCCGAGAACACCGGTGATAAACAAGTTGTTTTTAAAAGGTCGGACGCGTAGACGCATTAAAGTCTCTTTTTTTTTCTTTCCATGAACACCGGGCCCCTGCAGGCCCGGAGGCCCCGCGAAATGATTATTTTCCCCGGCTGAGCTCTGCACCTTTGATGTGTTGGAAAAGCTCTTTGAATGGAGAGAATACATGATGTATTTGATGGTTAACTTATATTTTCTGAGGAGTATCATAAAAGCTGTGGCTTATTTGTAACGCCTGTGAAGATGGCTGTTGACACAGTCAGGATGGTGGGTTTAAGGCCCAGGCTGCTTGTAAAACTGAAAACAAAACCAGAGGCAAAGGATTTCACACTTGTATCATTTGATACTGATGCCCCCTTTTTCCAGGTTTGGTGTTGGCTTTTAATTGTAGACGAGTTTTGGCCGATCAGAACCACAGTTGATGCTTTAATCTGTCACTCTTTATTGGTGTTTTCTTGCTGCAGCCTTTAGATAAAATAGTCCCTTCCCATGTGAGAGAGGCCAAATAGTCACAAAGTAGGGCAACGATAAATGTTCACTCTGAAAACACTGATATCGCGCTATCTCAGTAGAAAAATATTAGCCCGCATTTAGCCTCTGCGCTTTCCAAAATGTGATTTAATCTCAGAGGCGCTTGGAGCTCAGTGGCGCTCCTGTTCAAACATTAAATAAAGGCGCTGCACAGCAGCGCTGACGGTGACACAAGGAATCAAGTGTCTAAAATGTTACACCTGGGGATAATGCGTGGACGTGGATTGAATCCACCGTGATCCTACTTTGTTAAAATAAAGGTGCGGTTAATATGCTTCAGATTGTTATTAAAAATGGTTCATTTAGCACGCGGACCAACACAAGTGTGTTCTGTGTGATATAGGTAGGAGCTGGGAGGCCCGGTCAAGGTGTTCTCCTCCATCCTTTCACGCACCCACCCTCCATCCACCCTTGTACCCATTCGTCCGTTCATCCATCCATCCGTCTCCCCTTCTGTTGCTCGCGTGCAGAGTCTGGCTGTCGCAGCTCGAGGATATTTGGACTGCAACAGGTGGTAAGCGCGCGCCTCTGCTTTTTTATGCCCCCGCTTTAAAAAACAAAAAAAGCTCCCAGATGTTATCTATGATAACCTGGCGCGTGTCGGGCTCTTTCTGGTGGCCTTTATCACAACATCCACGTGTTACATTCTGTGCACTTTAAATAATCAGTTATTATGGGCAGGTAGGAGTTATTATAAATGTTGTAATAGCATGCAGGGTCATTTTTATTGTAGGATTCTGGTTGAGCGGATCGTGAACCTATTAAAACAAGGTAGAGACAAGACAGACCTCTGATAAAAGGTGGGAAAGTAAAAATAAATTAGCAGAATTTAAAAAATGAAAATGCTATTAGTCCACAATGCGAGAACACAGCCCAGTTAGATGATCCGCAGTTTATACTGGCCGCTTTCTAAATCCTGTGTTTGTTGTTGAGATTATATGATTTTTAAAATTAGGTCAAATGACCCCCCTCATCCGTACGTACACACACACACACACACACACACACACACACACGCAAACAAAACGAGCTTAGTGGCCTGTAATCCCACGAGAGCCACTTTCCTTTTTCACCACGTTGCGGATAATAAGGAGGAGGGGGCATGACGTCATCCCGCAAATGAAGCGGTTCAGTGGTCCTAATGTGTGTTTCCGTTGGTTAGTTTACTTTAATATAGTTTATCTTCTGTGGTAGCCAAATAATCCAGTTGTCATCATGGAAACCGATAATTAATTTGTAGGCCTGTTTGATGGTCGCTGTTTAGCCTGGAGGCCGATATGCTCACCTCCGTTATCACGAAATAACTAAATTAAAATTGTGTATGTTTTCTAGAAAGTTAATTAATGCATTAATGTCTCAGGTTTTAAAACACAGGATATGCGTTTACTCCCTGACTGATTGACATTGTTTTAAGGAAGACCCGAGGCAGACGGACATCTGTTTTTACAACATGCAAACACAAACCTGGCATGAATTGTTTTAATTATGATGGGTTGAAAAACTTAACATTTTTCAGTATTGATTCCATTATGTGAATAAAGGCCATGTCGGATTTATACAGGCAAAGGAGGACCTAGTAGCCAGACTTTGACTCTGTAATGATGAATAGGCTTCTGTCTCATATGAGGATGGCTCTGCAAGTCAAAGTACAGGAAAGTTCATCAAGTGAATCTAGATTCCTAAAGGAGGTATAAGTGAATGAAGGTTAAAAACAAACAAACTCTTTCCCAAAAAAAAACAGTGTTTTCTTTTTTTCTTTTTTCTTTTTCTTTTTTTTTTTGCATCTCAGAATATTTCTGCAGACTGCCCAACATCTCTGCCTTCATCACAGAGACAGACTGTAAGAATGGGTGAATAGCAAAACTGTCAGAGCAGAGAGCTTTGGTGTGTGTGTGTGTGTGTGTGTGTGTGTGTGTGTGTGTGTGGAGGGTAGAGGGACTGAATGGCAGCCAGTAGCCTGCTGATCTAGCGCAGGTGCAGGGAAGGGAAGCGGGCGGTGTGTGTGTGTGTGTGTGTGTGTGGAGAGAGGGCTCCCTCTCTCCACACACATACACTCACACACGCACGCACACTCACTCACTCACACACACACACACCCTCACTTCCATTGAATAGGACCACACACTGACACAGACCAGCATGCCATCAGCCTCGCGCTGCTCTGGGCCTGCATTCTCAGAGGCTCGAGGCCTCTGCTACCCCCCCCCCCCCCCCCCCCCCCCCCCCCCCCCCCCCCCCCCCCCCCCCCCCCCCCCCNCCCCCCACCACGTCACCAGCGGCTCGAGCTCCGTTTATCATTTCTGCTCATTGATGCTGACAGCTTTATAGAGCGCCATCATTAAAGGAATGCACGGTTTGCAGCGGATCAACAACTCTTTACAAACAACAACAACAACAACAACAAACAGTTTTGTTTTTCTTTCTTCTTAATGTAACTGTAACTTGTCGGACAGAGTACGAGTATGATTAAATGCATGTGCGAAACTGTATAGACTTTTAAAAGTTTATTTTTACCTCTGCTTCACTGCACATCAGAGCATTATGGGTGTCACTTTAAAAATTGTCCGTGTAAAATTCTTAACATGATCTATTAATAGATAACAATGGGCCCAAATAGGCTGGTGACACCATGCAGTAAAAATGTTGATTCTGTTTAGCCTATTTTTAGCTATTTACTTACTTTTAACATTTTTATCTAGATTTTTCTTTTCTTTTTATAATTTATTTGGATTGATTTTTTTACACAGTAACAATCACCAAATGCCAATCTTAACTATATCTGTGTCGTGGCTTTGATTGGCTATATTGTAAAAATGGCGGACACACTAATATTTCACATTCATGATGCAGCATAAAGCCTTCAAATGTTCCTTGTATTTGTTCAGCTTCTTTACAATTTTGGTTCCCCCCAGACAACTACGGATCAAAATGAAAAATATTTTAGTTTAATGAAGTAATATAGAGATGGACTGTTTGGTGTGATGCTGCACAGTGTCTCTTAAAGATGACTTGTGTCAACACCTGCAGTTCTAATAGCAGTTTATTGATGAAGCCTCAGTTTTCACCCCTCTGATAACATATGCCTATTTTGCTTCTTGAAGCGATTAGCCGGGAGAAAGTGCAAGAGAGGGGAGGAAGAGGAGGAGGAGGAGGGGAGGGGGGATTTTTCTGTGAGAGGAGCCGACAAACAACAATATAAGGCCTGTTGTACTGTAGCCTGCCAAGGGAAGCCTGCAGCTCTGCGCTCACACTGATCTGAGCTCTGTCATAAAAAACAACAGGGTCACTAATAAATCAGATGAACTCAC